GTCCCAGAGTGGTGCTAGGGACCCAGGATGCTGTAAACAATTTTAACAGTCTGAACACACTCTAGAGCTGACAGCTGAAAGGGAGATTCAGAGATGGGAATCCAGCCCCCCCCCCCCCCCCCAGGAACCGCAGGAACAACCCAGCTGCCAGACTGCAGTTCTGTGTGGAGATAAGAAGCCCTGAGCAGGAATCGCTAACCTGGGGGATGTGCAAAAATTGCCCAAGAAGGATATTAAAATAAAAGTTAACTGAATTCTACATGAGGACAGGAGTGCACACATGCCTTTATCACATGCATGCTACATAGCTGTATATATAAACACACATGGGAATACATACAGTGTGCAACCTATTAAAATTATTAAGTTTTGATCTTGTAGTCTGTTGATAGAGAGGATACATCTTATAAAGGAAACTGTATGGATAGTGGAGGGGAATTGGGAAACGGCTTTCACAGTGACTATGCCCCTCCATTTTGCCCTCGTTCTCCTGACCAGCCAGACCCAAATAACCTTTACTGGCTGCTAAACTTCTCTTGGGAAATCAAGGAACTCTCTGGAATTGCAGTAATAAACGACAATTTCTTACAAAAACACGTGTAAAGTAATGACAGGCTGAAGTAGTCAACTCACAGAAAGGAACCGGGAACACTTCTGCCTCGGAAAATCGCTGATCAACATCTCTGGTGCCCTTCCATTATGGCATACGCAGAAACAAGAAAAAGCCTTCCAATTATTTCAGTAAAATCTTCATTTATTCATTATTTCAGGGGCTGAGCAAATGGTTTGTGTAAACATATCCTTCAGTAACACGCACATGTTTATTTTAGCCATCTGAAGGCTTCTTCTATGTTTATATACGCCATCAGACACATACAACCACTCTCTTGTGGCTTCGCGTCTTCTCAAAGGGGTGAAGGGGGAGAAAGGAGAACGAAACAATAAATCCAGTTTCTCTCTGCAGAAAGCACCCATCCAATGTTTTAAAATAACTCATGTTTATATTATTACTCCTAGATTGCCCTTCAACTTTCTTTTTTGTTCAATTACGCTGCTCTTTCATATCGGGAAGAGCAAGCAAGAGTCTGGCTCGGGTCTTAAGAAAGCAAGCTAGTTAGCAAGTAACTGTTGTACGTGTTTAATACCCACACAACTCACTTGTGCAAAAAACAACAGAACGTAAACAACAGAACGTATGCATGGAGGCGGACAAAGAGCAAGCACAGCAGTACCCAGCTTGAGCCGTTCCTCTCCTAACATCCTCCTAGAAGGAGACTCTACCCTGATTGAAGAGGAAACAAGGCCTTCAGTATTTTATTCTGCATCAACTCCAGCAACCAACCATTTACTTAGGCAGGAATTTCATTTTCTCTAGATTTGAGTAAGGACCTAGCTTATCAGTTTCCACACATGCGACACGCGTGCACACGCATGCACACACACATGCACACACCCTTCACAAAATGCTAAGGTCAAGGCAAAGAAACCCCTTCAGGACTGGAACCTGGAAGGTCTGTGAAACCCTGCCTCACAGCTTTGGCGCTTGATGGAGTTTCTGAGCTAGGGTGGGATGTGGCAAGTAGATCTCCAGCGTGAGTAGGATGAACACATCTGCCTCCCTGCCATTTCCAAACCCCCAGACAAGGTGTTTTTGACATGGAAGCATCTCTAGAGGGCAACTGGTTCAAGCAGGAAGGAAAGCTAGTGAGGACAAATCAGGTGGCAACATACACGATCCTAACAAAATAAAGCAAACCCAAAAACTTGCTTTGCTGTGCCCTTCTATCTACAGGCTTCATGGATTGCCTTTGGGTATAAACTCATTTGTGCACGAGCGCATGCACGAATCAAAGCAAAAGGCTATCAACTTGAAAGTGGGGGAGTATGGGAGAGTCTGGAGGGTGGGTAGGTGGGAGGGGTTAGAGGGTGGATACCTGAGAGGGGCTGGAGGGTGGGTAGCTGGGAGGGGCTGGAGGGTGGGTAGCTGGGAGGGGCTGGAAGGAGGGTAGCTGGGAGGGTCTGGAGGGTGGATAGCTGGGAGGGGCTGGAAGGAGGGTTGCTGGGAGGGGCTGGAGGGTGGGTAGCTGGGAGGGGCTGGAGGGTGGGTAGCTGGGAGGGGCTGGAGAGAGAAAAGAAAGGGGGAAAAGTGATCTAGTTCTATTTCAGCTAAAAACATATTAAACAACAATAACCACAAAAGAAAAACACCAAGCAATAGCCATGACAGGTATGACTCGTGGAGTGTTTTTTGGTTCTTTGTCTACTACATTAAACCTCAGTCATTCGAGCCTGTGGCTGAACAAATCTATCTTTCCCTAATATTGTCAAGCTACTGAGCAGAAAAAGCTATGGCTTTCGCTGTCCTCGTCCCTCTTTAAAGTGACAGTGACACAGGCAGGATCCGTCTTTTCAATATTCTATCTAAAAATAAAATCCATGAAGTTTTTATAAACATAGGCTACCTTGCCTCCAACTCAGGGGCTTGTCTGCCCAGCCTCCCCAGTGCTAGGGCTAAAGCCTTGCTCCACCATGTCCCACAGTTGTGTCCATTTTTGAAAATGGCAGCAAAGTCAAGAGAGCTACTGTCTCACCTGAGCATGCTTATTCTGAATTGTGATGCGCAGATTGAAAGAAGTGGGAGTGTGACTGTCCCAGTACATAGGGTGGCACTCCTACCCCGACTCAGCGAATCTGTGCAGAACGCATAGATACACCTCAAACACCAACGACGTACCCTCTTGAGTCATGACAAGAAGAGCAGATGCAACCCAAGGCATACTTCAAAACTTGGCCATCACATAGCTATCCACCAATCCAAAGAAAGATTAGTATCCTCTGAGAAGGGGAAAAATGAAATCAACAAATTCAGGTGGTCTCCCCAGCCCAGATTCACTATGATGTGAAAACTGCCTGTCCCGTCAGTTTGCTTGCTGTGAAAGCGAGCTTCAGGATGAAAAACGCTGACAGTCACTGTGGTCATTCTTCCCATAGGTGTGTTACGTGTCCTTTTGGGACAAACCAAGTTCTTATTCCAGAACTATTCAGGCTAGTACAAAATGCAAGTTGCCAAAAATTTACATCTTTTTGGTTTTAATGTGCTTCAGAGATATTATCCTCTTCTAGAGTAAGTAAATGCCCATCAGTAGTCTACTGATTAAGAAGTCCTGACAGCCAGAGACACATTTAGAAACATAAGACTCTTTCATCTAATCGGCTACCCTTGTGAATGTAGGCCATTCCGCTGATAGGCAAAGCATGGAGTATAGGATTGTTACTTAATAAACTAATGCAAACATTGTGTTATCAAGTCTAATTAAATTAACTTTAAATAGCTTACTAATTCAGACTCTTAAGCCACTTTCATTCAATTTAATTAAGCACGATTAATCATTGAGACTAGTTAAATAAGCTACTTCCACCAAGTTGATCTTCCATTTGTAAGTATATATTGTATAGTTTTTTTTCTACTAATATAAACTTCTTGGGGAAGAACATCCCAATAGATTTCTTTTTAGAGATGATTATTCCCACCAATACTTAAACATGGGAAAAGTCATATTGTGATCACTTAATTGTTAAATTAATTAAATGTCACGGAATTTTTAAAAACTGAATGCAAGGTTGGGGATGGCTGAGCAGTTATTGCTCTTGTTCAGGAGGAAGGTTCAATTCAAAGCACCCACCTGGTGGTGGCTCACAACCATCTTTGACTCCAGTTGCAGAAGGTCAGATGGCTTCTTCCGATCCCACGGGCACCATATATGCAGAGGGAGCACACATACACATGCAGGCAATTCACTCACATATAAAATGAATTAATCTAATTTTTTTGTTTGTTTGTTTTTATTCTTAGAGACAAGGTTTCCTTGTGTAGTCCTGGCTGTCCTGAAACTAGCTATGTAGACCAGGCTGGGCTTGAACTCACAGAGATCCGCCTGCTTCTTTCTTTCTATTGCTGGGATTAAAGGCATGTGCCACCACTGCCTGACTGAATAAATCTAATTTTTTTTAACTCAGAAAACAAAATCTAGGTAGTTTTTATGTGAGGAAATGGAGATGTTTGACTCCTTGAGCCCACAGCAGGTCCCATCACCCACTATGAAATCAAACACCCTTCTCATAACTAACAACTCAACACCTGACTTCACGCAGAAACTGCAAGGGAATGCTTACAATCAGTGCAATGGTAAAAACTGTGTTGGCCCTATTTTCAGGAAGCGCAAGGGATTTCATTACTCTCTTTTGTTCATCTTTATGTTTTAATATATATTACACCATAAATTATTTATTGGACACAAACTGCTTTGAAAAGATAACAGCTACTTTATAATATTTTTCCAAAACCAAAACATAAGATAATATCAAAACTATTTTCAAATAATTTTCTTAGCCAACCTAATAAAGTCAATTACATCAGTCTGCAAACAGAAATTAAAACTACTTAAACAAAATTTCTTCCTTAACTACAGATTCGAATAATCTTCCCACTCCAAAATGGGCTTGCTCTGTGAACAACAGTGGAACAGACTGCCTTGAAACCTTTCTTCCCGTCTTTCCCGCTGAGAGAAAAATAAACACTCAACAGCTTAGAGTCAGCAGAGAGGAAAGAGCTGAGATGAGAAAACGCATATAATGTAAAGAACCAATGTTTTATCCTCAGGTAGCAGAAAATCTTGCCTGAAGCTATGATTTCATTGCTAGGCCCTTATATCTAAATGTCATAGCACGCTCCTCCCATTCCCACCAAAAAAATGTTATAAACTGTCCCAAACATTTGACAGTGTTGAAAAATCCCAATGATCAGTTAACATATGCCACAGTCCCAGGTTAATCCGATGATGCATCCAGACAGGAATTAAAGGGGGGGACAGGGGAATAGGGATGTACAGCCAAACAACTAGACTTTTAACATACTTTCTGTACAACTAGTTAAAAACAAACACGTTAGGTTATGTAAGTTTTAGGTGTAAGTGTAGGGTTGGAAATAATTAAAATGTTACCTTTGCCAAGTAATTCCCAATGTATCCTCACTGGTACTGGGGTATAAATGCCTGCCGTTTTGATTCATGGTCCAGTCACAAATCCTCAGCTGTCAATTGAAACCTAGCAGTCAGATATGGATCGAGCAGTACTACAGTTTTTAGTATTTAAATGAACACATGCAAACTAGTACTGAACATGGCATTACTCTTACTTTCCCAAGAGGCAACTTAAAAAAAACAAACAGACAAACAAAATTAAAAACAAAACAAAATGAAAAAAAAAACAAGAAGAAAAAAAATCATACTATATAAAGCAAAATTTCCAGACTTTTCCTTAGAAAAAAAAGTTATTGCAATATGCTTCTCTATTAATTAAAGCATACAGAGAAACAAGTGCTTAGAACATAACAATTAGCCAGTATTAGAGTATAAATTGAGCTGAAATAAAAGAAAACGTTAATAATGTTCAATAGAGAGATTATTTTAGAAAGGAAATAAAAATGCGGTTCTTTTTTCTATGCGACATACCAAATCATCTATGCAGAGTAGAATAATCAATATCTGTAAAGCATGCAGATTGCAAAACAGAAGACATGCAGTTTAGAGGAGAAAGGCCCCGCCCTGCATTGGCCCTAACAGGTAGAGAAGCTGGGAGGCTTCCAGTTTCTCATGTTCCGAATTACATTTTACCTAAAGTGGCACTGTTGAGGAAGAGTAAAAAATGAGCTTGAGGTTCATGTAAAATTCAGAGGCGTTGCCCTGTAATGTTTTCCCGCATGTGAAGAAGGTGGAGAAGGCACTGAACAGGGCCTGAGACCAATTCTCCCTGGATCTGAGCAGCGGCTCTGCTCTCCTGAGCTCTTCCCAGGAACCCTAGCCAGCCCTGTTTGGTTAACAGCTGCCCTACAGTGCTGGCAGATTTATTGAAAAGATATATTGCTTATTTTTATGCTTAAGAAAGTAAACTTATCTGTCATGGCAGGGGCAGGGTTGGGGAATACTCTAGAAAATCGTGGTTTTTAAGCTTTAGAGAGCCGGGCGGTAAATTCACTGCGTCCTGCATTGAGAGGGAGCTGCCTTGCTAAACACACCTGGATTGCCTCTTCTGGGAGAGTTTCTAGATGATGGCCACAGCGAAAAAGCCTTTACACTTAGGACAAATCGCTTTAACTCTGTCCCCAAAACATAGGGCTTAAAAAAAAAAAAAAAGGCTATTAACTCTCAGACTCCAGTTTCTTCACAGTCAAAATGCTACCATGAGGTTTCAGAATAACAGCTTTTATCTGAAAATGTAATCTAAAATTTGGAAGGTGCATTTAAAGTTCTTGGATATTTAAAGTAGAACTCGTTTTTACAAAGAACTGGAAAACGTCCCCTCAGGTAGACAGAGAGAAAGATGCAGAGATGGCTGAATGGCTGGAGTCTGCTCAGTTTGATGTTATAAAGGACTCATAAATCAGAAAGTAAACAGAAACAAAGTAGGTATTCTGAAAACAGTCATAATATTCATACAAAGGAGAAAATATATACCTATTCACTTATAAACAGATGACATATTTCTGCTATTTCAAAGAAGAAAATATGTTTAGTCTATAGTGTATGAGAAACAACGTTGTAAGATTTGTTTCTGAGGGGACATGGGTGCGGGGCGGTGGATACAAAAGATCTCACTGTGTAGCTCAGACTGTCCTTGGACACTTTGTCCTCAGTTTCCAGCAGGACTTGGGCTTTTTTTCCTCCTTCCTTCCTTCCACCTGTGTGTGTGTGTGTGTGTGTAGGCGTGCATGTGTGTGCATGCATGTGTGTGTGCGCGCGCGCCCGTGTGTGAGTTCTCTGAGGGGCCCTTCTAAACCGAAATTCAGTGTGCTAGGCTACACTGATAATCACCAGAAATAAGTGGAGCACATTTCAAAATTTGAGCCTTGAAAAAAGAGCCTGACCATTTGTGGTCACTTCAGGAGCCACCTACGCCCCATCCACTTTCACCTGGGGATGACACTTTTGAGTCAGGTTAGCAGGGAGCGAGATGTACGTTCCGCACACCACAGCCAGTTCTGCTAATGAGTAGTCCCAGGTTAATGTCTAGGGGACCCTCTGCTTTCTCTGAAAGCTGATAATCCTGCACAAAACTGTAAGACCCCAGGACCGCTCATGGGCTATCTCAGGCAAAGCTGAGACCCTACTATCTTCCTGGGAGTTTCTTGTGCAAATTTGGCCAGTTACATGCTGGTGACGTTTTTTCTTTAACCAACCCTAAAAATTTCAAGTGCACAATCTTTGGCTTCATCCTGCACACTTAAAATCAATGCAAGTTCTAACTTTTCTTTCATACATATACTTTCAAAGAGGTTAAACCAAACTAACTATTTATTTCCACTTATCATTAATATATGTGCTTATGCGTACATGTACACACCTATGCCTTTTAAAAATATTTTTCTCTAAAACAGAAAAAATGTTTAAATATATACAAAATCATCAAAAATTGCATTTAAGAATAATTTAATGTCAAAGAAGTTGGCAAGATACCAGTTGAATTAATATTGAATTATTGGATTAATTTTCAACAATTAACTAAAAATTATAAGATATGATTTTAACTTGTTTGCCTATATTATGGGCCAGCACTGCCTATACTTTCAAAGCATCTAAGGAGACAAGTATTTATGCCAGCTTGTCTATTATCACACACTTGAGCCAAGTTACTTAAGCAAGAGCAATTCTCTGTCTATTATTTATTATTATTATTATTTTCTTAACTATAGTTGAACTAATAAAATACCCAATAAAGTAAAAATTTAAAAAGTGGGGCTGGAGAGATGGCTCAGAGGTTAAGAGTACTGGCTGCTCTTCCAGAGGTCCTGAGTTCAATTCCCAGCAACCACATGGTGGCTCACAACCATCTGTAATGAGATCTGGTGCCCTGCTCTGGCGTGCGGGCATACATCGAGGCAGACTGTTGTATACATAATAAATAAATAAATAAATAAATAAATAAATATTAAAAAAATTAAGAAGTGTAAGTAAGGGAAACAAATTAATGACTAAAACAAAAATCAGCTATTATTCACCAAAGATTCCTGTGGCAGGAATGTCTATGAAAATCAGCTCTTAAGCATCTTATTTAACCAAGACATTCTTGGACCAAGCAAATTCAGGGCAGATCCTTAATACTGGAAGACTCAAACTGAGTGTATTTAAGCTTCTGTAGAAGAACATGTGAAACATTTTAGTATTGTAATTCAAGATGTTTAACACAATTTCACTTTAAGTAATAAAGATTTTTAAATTTGAGGTACTGACAGTTTAACCATTGCTCTGAGAAAGGGTGAGTGATAAAAAAAATTCAACTGTCGGTCAGGTGGTGGTGGCGCAGGCCTTTAATCCCTGTACTGAGGAGGCAGAGGCAGGCGGATCTCTGTGAGTTCCAGACTAGCCTGGATTACAGAGCAAGTTCTAGGACAGGCTCTAAAGCTACACAGAGAAACCCTGTCTTGAAAAACAAAATAATTCAAGTTATTTCTAGTCAAATTTTAAAGTTGGATTTTAACTGGTACACAAACATCTCTATTACATTTTCATAAGTTCAAACCTTCTATAAGTGTGAGTTTTCCAAGTATCTTACTTTTCAAAATAAGAGGTGACCTCCTGTCCCATAACAGTCAAGCTTCAAAGACCATATGCAAATGAGTTTAGAAACCCAGCCACTTGGTGCAGCGTGACCTTGTAGGGGAGGGGCCAGGCGACCTCATAAAGGGGAGCTGATTTCCAGCTTTCTTAGACTCTAAAAGTCAGACTTAATCATATGCATATCTGTACCAAATACATAGTCACTGGGAGATTTAGTTATTTAATTTATATGTACCTATCAAATGAAAGAAGACTGTTTATAAAACCAAGGTATTAAACACATTGTGCCCAATATTCCAAGAAGAAACAAGAAATGAAAGAAATAGGATCGACCCACGAAGCAATGACTATAAGGGTCAAATAAAACACTTGTAAACTACGAACACAGTAATAAAGGCGGGGACCTGCACACGCTCTCAGACTGCAGTTTGGAGGGGAAGTTCCTGATGGCACAGTTCAAATGAGATTGTGTCAAAACAGCCAGGCAGGGAACTCTCTGGTTTCTTTCAAATGTCTGCTCAAGGAGGCTGGGGCATAGCCCAGTTAGAGTACTTGCCCAGTGTCCAAAAGCCCTGAGATTGGTCCCTGGTCCTAATGCCACATAAAATCAAGTGTGCTGGTATGTGCTGGTACTTCTAGCACCTGGAAGGTGGAGGCAGGAGGATCAGAAGTTCTAGGTCATCTGCTATTACATAGGGAATGAGTCTAAAGCCAGGGGGGATTCCCAATTACTTATGTAATTAAAATGAATAGTTTGCATATGCAGAAAGACCAAAGTGAAAATACCTGAGATACTGCACATAAATTAGGCTGCTTCTGATAGGCATAAAGAATCAATGTGGCCTTAAAGTCAAGTTTGTACACTCAGATGAAGGCCCTTCATTGTCATACAGGGGACTTTAGCTATCAAACGCATAAAATTTGGGGAAGAAATAAAAGTAAGCAAAACACTCACTTTGCCAGATCCAGCAAACAGGCAGTGGACTGACTAACAGCCTGCCGTGATGACAACAGCGCTCAATTGAACCAATAACCCACTAGGGTTAACTGAATAACCAACACGAGCAAATTTACCTCTTCATTTTAGGTTTACAAGACCCTTAAGGGAGTATCTTGAATTGTATGTTTTATGTTCTCTTGAGTTTCCCCATTTCTCCTGATAGCTCAGGGACACAGTCTGGGGGAGGGGGACAATGGAGGCACATCAAAAGAATCCTCACATGAGGGTTCGTGCTTTCTATTTACTTGCTCGGGTGGGTAAAATTTCTGCTATTAACTACTTGCTTATGGAGCAACTGAAATGAACTTTCACTAAGTTCCTTTCTAAGCAGTAGAACTTTCATGAACAGGGAAAATGATCAAAATCAAACTGTCAAGAAGATAAACCAAAGCCGTTCTGATACCTTAAAGTCACTCTGTCCCTTTCTGAAATCATGCTCCTTGATACTTAACTAAATAAAGTTAAATGGGTATGAAC